CTTAGCTTCCAGAAAGACCTGTGGCAGTGGCTCATGTCCAGTGGACTGGCTCTGCCTTCTGGGGTTGGGGGATGATAGGATAGCCCAAGCTCACACTAACTGGCACTTTTGTTTGGTTGATTGGTTTACTTGTACCATGTCTTTATTATTTTTTCTTGGTTTTTATTTAAATTAAAAGCAATCTTATTTTACATACCAATCCCAGTTTCCTCTCCCTCCCATCCTCCCTTGCCCCATCAACTTTCCATCCCATCTCCCCCATTCACTCCCCAGGGAGGGTGAGGCCTCCATGGGGGATCATCTAAAGTCTGCCACACCATTTAGGGCAGGGCCTGGGCACTCCCCCATGTATCTAGGCCAAGAGAGTATCCCTCCATAGTGAATGGGCTCCCAAAGTCCGTGCCCTAGGGATAAATACTGGTTCCACTGTCAGAGATCCCATAGGCTGTCCTGACCTTCGAACTGACATCCATGTTCAGGGGACCTGGTTTAGTCCTATGGTGGTTCCCGACTGTCAGACTGAGGTCTGTGCTTCCCCCTTGTTCAGGTCAGCTGTTTCTGTGGGTTTCCTAAGCATGGTCTTGACCCCTTTGCTCATCATGCCTCCCTCTCTGTCACTGGATTCCAGAGTTCAGCTCAGTGTTTAGCTATTGGGTGAAGGTTCTAGGATGGCATTTAAGGTAATAATCAATATCATTATAGAGGAAGGGCATTTAAGGTAGCCTTTCCACAATTGTTCAGATTCTTAGCTAAAGCCTTCTCTTACAAAGGACTTCACTATTCACTCCCCAGAGTCTGTCATTTCTAACAATGAGCGACATAGAAAATAGCATCCTAACTAAGACAAATGATTAGAAAGATGTTTAAGAGCTTGCACTTAAATATAGGTCATTTAAACATTAAACTCAGTGCATGCCCACAGGACTGCAGCATTGCCAGATATTCAGTTTATACTCATTATTTACATCCCCCATCTCAACAACCATTATTATGGAGGAGTTTATGCCTACAGTGATCATGCATCAGAGTAGGCTGCCCTTACCCGACTATTCTTTTCAGTGATGTGCCTGGAGGGTGTTGTTCCCTCTGTGCAATCCAACACCAAGTGGGCGCTTTGGCCTGACTCCTCTCAATGACAAGTTAGATGTGGATGGGTCTTTAAGGAGCACAGCCACACTCACTCTGTGCCCAAGGACATGAAAGGCTGCCATCGCCTCGCCCTGTTCTCAACTGTAGCTTCTAATATGAGATCTTCCAGCCTCTCTTCTTTTTCTAGCATCTCTCAGTCCAGACTGGAGATAGCTCCTCATTTCTTCTCCCAGGCCTGACAGGTACTGCTCCTTTATGACTTTGGAGCCAGTGGAGTTTACCAGAGTGTATTGTTAAGGCTGCACACTCACAGGCAGGAGGTAATGAGATGATTCGACTTATGACAGACACACACCTAGGCTGCAGGATGTGGTCTGTGGGCTACACACTGGATTCATCCTGGACTCTGGACTCCTTGTTAAAACTGTTTAATCTATTTAGTTGCAATATCGAGTTGTCTCTGTCTCTTCCAACGGAAGCTAGGGGCACCTTCAACAATTCTAGAGCCACACGATGAAAGAGCAGATGCGTCAGAGACCATATAAAGTGCATAGGAGTGGCGATGGCTTTCAAGCACCACCCTCTTGCTGCTGAGAGTGTGAAAAGCAAGGAATTTTGGGAGTCTTGGGAGTTTGTGACAGCTCACCATTCTGGGCAGCCATGGCAACACTTGATGATGTTGACACCAGCGTTTCCCTTATGAGTTCCAGCTGGACTCCTGGATTGCTTTGATTCACATCTCTGAATATAGAAGCAGGAGCCACTGCTTCATGTCCGTGTTGTAATAGAAGTGCAGTCACTTCATATTCTACTGGCTTCGGCTTTTGTATAATGACTAACCCTATTCCCTCCCTACCATTTTACCTGCAAAAGTCAAACCTGCAGGAAATAGCTTATTTTCTAGAAGCTCATTTTTATTTCCTGCCAGAACATTGCTAAAAACCTCAGCCGCCTAACCTCCTGTTCTCCTCATGTGTCTACACCTTGATTGCTTTGGTGCACAGGCACAATTTTAAAGTGTGCTCACATGATGATCGGGGATGATTAATCTCTCAGATCCTGAGCCAGAGAAACTGACTTTCTGTGGTTCTGAGAATCAGCCCCAGGGACTTGTTGATGTTAAAGCAGTGCTCGGCTTCAGAAACCATGTGACAGTCATACATACACACATGCCCCCTTTGTTTCTGCCACTTGCTGAATTGTCACAGTCCCATCCATACATGCCAAGGACACCATCATCTGCAAGAATAGTCTAAGTGGACAGCAGCTAGCACAGAAGAGCTACCTAGGGGAGCAGAGACCACCCCTTCCAGAGAGGCATCAGTGGGATGCAGCCTCTGGACTGAGCTCAAGAATCTGACTTATGGAAAAAGAACCAAGACGTGGGGTTCCTGCCTAAGCAGCAGGTGTACTGAAGGCCTCTGAGAGTTGACCGTGAGCATTATGTGTCATTGTGGGCATGGCACACCAGGCTCTGGGTAACAGGGCAGAAATCTACCCCACTCCTAAGGCCAAGCTAGTTGAATTATAGAGCTCTGAAATGTCAAGGAGACTGAACAGAAGTAAACACACCCCAACTCTACAGGATTCACTTGCCTCCCAACTATAATGAGGACCTCGATATGTCCTGATCCTGTACCCACCTCTCTGTCAACTATGATGTGGAGAACAGAGATTTCCATCCAGGAACAGTAAAGCATTGTTAAGATGCTAAAGTGCTGACTTATTTGGGGAGCTGGGATTTCAGATTTTCACATGAATTTGTGTCCTCAGGCAACTTTGTAGAGTGGGGCTCCTGTGCCGCCAGCAGATTTATGTAGTGGGCTAGTCTCAGCTCACAAAGTTTGTGACTCAGCAATGGCTGCTTGACATTTATTACACTTGAGCAGACTGGCAGCCATAAATTCAGCTTCACTTTTGCTGTTAAATGCCTCCTCTCCTGAAACTAAGGAATAAAGGCGAATAATTCACAGCAGTGCTACTTATCTTACAGGTTTTGAAAAACTGTAAGAAATAACAAAAGGTCATGTTGCCATAGGACCATCTTAATCAGCAAACATGTATGTGCATAGTCTGTACAGACATAAGGGAGACATGCTGTGGGGAGATACAGAGTGGCCACACCTCCATTCTATGTTGGAGCAGTAAGGCCTCCTGAGTAGTTGCTCTGAAATAGTAATGGCTGTCCTTCAGCTTCCTGTGTGACAGTTCCTGTACTGGTTAAAAGCCCAGCTGGCTGGCAGAGCTGTCAGCACAGATGCTTGTGGCTTTGGGATGAAGGGGAACTGACTAGGGTGTGTTAACATGGGTGAGGTTGCTGAGGTTTACAGAGGACAGGAGGCAAATAACAGTAACAGCTTCTGGAACACATTGGTTTCTGCTATTTGGGAAGCTGTTCCCTATCAGTGTTGTTCTAGGAACAACTCTCTCCACTATAATTTCATTACATGTTCTCAAAGTGAGCATGCTCAGAATGATGGTGATGGACAAGACAGTTTTACAGATCAGTTTCAGCTCTCCATTATCTGGAAGAACTATTAGTTAGCTGGATGGTCACAAAGAGAGAAGAAAGATAGTTTGTAGAAACTCTTTAAGTCTATGAGAAGAAAACTCCAGCTAAGAGTGTAGCTGTAGAGGCTTGTCTAGCCTTCCAAAGACCCAGGCTACCTCCTCAGCACACCATCATCATCATCTTCATAATCATCATAGAAATCTCTTCCCTTTAGACTGAAGGACTCACTATTTAAACAGCATGGTAGTATAATTCAAACACTCAGGAAACTGAGGCAGGAGGATTATGAGTTTATGGCCAACCTCAGCTACAAAACCCAGACCAGCATTAAGTAATGACAATGAAGGCTGTCTCTGAGCCTTACTCTAAATACTGAGCAATTGAAGTTCAGAGAAAAGTACGCAATGCACCCAAGATCAAAGCAAAGCATTGGCATAATGATACGCTAGCACCCACTTGCCTAGCTCTCCATCACTTCCATATATCTTTGCTTGTGTTTGATAACGAGTTGTTAAATTAATATATCTGTATGTCCTAGTTAGGTTTCGGTTGTTGTGATTAAGCATTCTAACCGAAAGCAACTTGTGGGGAAAAAGTTTATTTGGCTAACAGCTCACATTCCATCATTGAGGAAAGCCAAGGTGAGAATATAGCAGCAGGAATTGAAGCAGAAACAGATTAATGCTGCTTGCTTTCTCTGCCTTGCTCTGCTACACTCCTTATACAACGCTGGCCTTCCGGCCTAGGGGTGGCGCCATGCAAGGTGGATCAGGCCTCTTTCCAACAATTAGCAATTGAGAAAATGTCACCCAGACATGCCCACAGGTCAGTCTGCTAGAGGCCATTCTTCAATTGCCATCCCTTCTTCCCAGGTGTGTCAAGCTGACAGAAGAGATTTGATGTCACCCAGAGTTGTATAATCAGCTCCAGTGTACACACACACACACACACACACACACTCTCACACCTCTTACCACTTATTTTAATTTGGGTCATCATCAACAAAAGAACACATGGTTTCTGACATTTTTAAAATTTCTTTTCCTTCCAGTGGTTCCCATTTCCCTTCTCAGATGTTTGGTTAAAGAAGATAATTTCAAAGGAAAAATGATTAGCCCTTTTAAATACCAGCAATAACTGAGATAACAGCAGAGCTTTCCTAACACAGGGTCTCTTTCTTGGACCACAGCAGTGGAGAGGGGTCTTAAATAGTAAGAACAAGTGACTAAATCGACTATGGAGTGGGAGAGGGGAAGAAGTGGGGCAGGGCTGTTCTGAAGCCAGTGAGTGTGGCAAGGGACAAAAAACAACAACAAAAAAACAAAACAAAAACAAAACAAACAAACAAACAAAAGCCACTCAGAGATGCAATCTCAATATTTGGTTCTTTCTCTCCTAGGACTGCCAAGCGCCAATGTCTGAATTCTGAGTCCCAGGAGACCTGCTTTCCTCACTGGACCCCACAAGAATTCATAGAGGACACTGGCCTTCAGGGTTAAACTCTTTAAATCCAAGAGCATCGAGAGAAGTTCTATAAAGAGGTAGGCATAGGCTTATGATTGGCCTTACATTAAGTGGTTATAAAATGATAAATGAAGACTAAATATTTAACAAATTACTTCTAGGGAGCAAGTGGAACTTCATGGTTTTCCAACATGCCTCTCAAATGGCATCATGTACTGTCATCATACTGTTTTTAAACCCTTGCTATCAGTCACGTTTTGAAAACTATCATTTTCTAGATAAGAGTAGTTAAAAAATAGAGAGGACAAGACACCCCAAACTTCTGACAGTGTGGTCCTCTAGGCTTGTGACCACAAACAAATGCCACTAGAAGAAATGCCGAGGTAGCTGGCAGCATTCACATACAGAACCGAGACTTACTAGAGACCCAGAGTGCTGAGGGCTGCAGGTCGAAACCAAAAGGCCTGGTATCTTTATTCCCACAGGGTGCTCTCACCCAGAACCTGGCAAGTTCTCTCCAGGTGATGAGTGGAAGCCATGTTCCTTACACACTGGCCATCCTCCATTACATTGTTCTCAACCCACCCAGAGAGATTATATTATTGATAAAACAGGTAAGAACTCCTATGCCCTTGTCTCCGCATACATGGTGTTAGTAATATTACAGAAGCTGACCACACCCCCTAGTTATGAGCTTCTCAAAGAGTTCTAAAGGAAGAGAGGCCCGAGGGAGAGAGAATAACAACTCTTGAAATGCCATCGGTAGAGTCACCAGTACTAATGTGACAGCCATGACTGACAATGAAGTCAGTTTCATTCAACCTTAAAGACAGTTTTGCGATGGTTGAGCATACATGCGCACACAGAACCTGAATATCTCAAAGCAGATTTTCCTCGGCCACTGTGAGGAAGACTTGCATGGCCCCTGGTCTTCCTTCTGGACATTTCTTCTATTTGACGAGCAGCAGACCCCGTGGGAAGTTTGCCGGAATCCTCTAAGGAGAACTAACTCTGAGGGAATCCATTACTGTGTGCAGTTGTCTTCATTTCCTTCCAGAAAAAAGGTACTCGGCTCCCATTATCTCATTCTCAGAAGCTGAGTCACCCTTAGCCCTCACCAACACTGATGACCACAAGAGAATTTGAGCTTGGACTTGGGACAACCCCAGCTGACTCTAAGTGACAGCAGGTTGCAGATCACTTACTAATGGCAGTCGAAAGGGTAGACGTGAAATTCGATTTTTTTCCCTTACTCATATAATTTGAAGATTGCAGGGTATGGGTTTTAAAGGTCAGAGTGAATTACTAATTAAGTTGAAGTATTTGAAATTAGCATGTAAAACCTCTACTCATAATAGCGATTAAGGAATAATTAATCATGTAAAGGAAAATGGCTGCCAAGAGGCGGCAGCAGTAAAATTACTTTTTAACTAGTTGCTATGGAGTTTCCAGATGATGTCACTGGCAAACTGGATAGTCTTAGCTCTATTCCTTCCTCTTTAGGCTGCTGGGTTTGTTGCTGTTGTTTTTAAACTAAGGACTTTGAAGATATCTCTCAGTTTGTAAAATGCTTGCTGAAGTACTTCCTGGGCAAGCAATGGAGACCCGTGTTCAGGCCCTACTTAGAACTCAGGTAAAGTCTGGGCCTGGTGTTACATCCTTGAAGTCCCAGTGCTATAGAGAGAGAAACAGGGAAACCACTGGGGCTCACTGGCCAATCTGACCCAGGCTGAGAGACACTCTCTCAAAAACAGGCTGGGTGGTAAAACAAGAGCCAAGGTTTCAAGTCACATGATCATGGATCCCCTCCCTCCCCCACTGCTTGTACACACACACACACACACACACACACACACACACACAGCATTCAATAGGTTTTCAGGACAGCACAATCAAGGCAGATGTTCACCAATGCTGCCAACCTCACAAGTGCTAAGAAGCAGGCACAGGCAGCTGTGACTGCCTTCCCTTTATTTCAGATGTGAAGGAGCCTACAGTGATGGTATCAAAGTTGTAAGCTCAAAACCACTTTAATTTTACTAGAAATTACTATACATGCTGACATTTCAACTACCATATCATCATCGCAGATACTCTGAAGGCCAGTGTTGTCTCCTTTTAAAAATTTAAAAGCCTTTTGGGAGGCAGAGGCAGGAGACTGACAGTTCCAGGCAAGCCTGAGCTACACAGAGAGACCTTGTCCCAAAAAAACTAGATACATAAAGAAGCAAATAAAAGTAAAATTTAGTGTAAGAGACAAACCTTTGATTTTGTTTGTTAGCTGTGTGGTGCTGTCTGGTGGTAAATCCACTAGTTTTGGATTGTACGCTTAGTCTCTCCTGATACAATCAGGATGTCAGCATCCTGAATGCTGAGGCGGCAGGTGTGGCCCCCACATCTGGCCTTTACACATCAAACTGAAATATCACACAGCTGATTTGACTCACAAATCTTTAACAAGGAAAAACATTAAGGCAGCATTTACATACAGATTCATTATTTTAAGCAGTTGTTATTTATTAATCAGCTAATCCACACAACAAACCTATGAGGTAGTTTAACATGCCTTGAATATGAACAGATTCAAAACCAGAAAAGGGGAGGGGGCTCCATCCCTACAATAATTTGTTGAACAGACAGACCCGCTTTAGTTTTATTCATACAAAAAAATAATTCATTGGACAAGCTGATCAAAGTGAACGACAGATATTTAGTGGGGGAGTGTAGCTATGACCTGGTCAGTCTTTTATTGGGGTTTAGTGTTTTGTATTCCCACATCCTTGTCAAAAATGTCCTACTCAGCTTTGCCAGGAAGGTGGGGAGTTCTGTAGGAGTGTCAGTGTTGCACATGTGTCTGGTTGTTCTTGCCTTTTGATATGGCTGACCTAATAAACTTGCTCTAACAGACAATGTGAAGAGTTTTGCAGCTCCAATTTATGTTCCTATGTCATCTAAGAGGCCAAGAAAGTTCAAATCCTATGGGTCTTCCAGTCCAGCAGGAGTGGGTGAGTTTTATGGCTACTTTATCAGCAGTAGGAATCGCTGCAGCATTTGCTGCTTAGTGGATTGCTTTATGAGCATATTTATGAGTTCACTGGGCTGTGGAGACTGTATGTAAGGAGAGCTCATTAATTTGGGACTCACTGCTATGGCATTTGTGGTCACTGGCACATGTGCTAGCCCTCAGGTTTATTTCTGCACTAAAAGAGAAGAACATTTTGTAAAGGAAATTTGAATTGTATTGCCAGGACTAAGGAGTAATTTGGTCCTCTGAGGAATCAGGGCTGAGCATGGAGTTCAGTGGTAGATTACATGGACAATTCATATTGGAATCAAAATCCCAAGATATGTCATGGGATGAAAGAGACGTTTGACCATATTGACCATCCATGACTGTCTTATTGAATATAAATGTCTTGGTTTAATACAGGGTCAGTAGGTATGTGTTCTCGTCGTGGTTGTTCCAGAGTGTTCTGAGTGATGGCAGCATCCATCTCTTTTCTTTACAGCAGAATTAATTGGCCATTTGAAAATATTTTCCCTAGATACAACTCCCATCTATCCATAACAAACTTGGAAAGTAATGTTAAGACTTAATTTAACATACAGCCATACCAAAGGAACAGTGAACAGCACAGTTTCCCAAGTAGTGGTGTTTGTATTCTACAGTCTCCAGGACACTGGTATTTCTGAGCCTTCCTGCATTAAGTAGTCTGGTCAAGTTGGTCTTTATGGTGTGCTGGAATGAAATTTCCTTTATCTACATGGGCATGAACAAATGTGAGAACAGTCAAACCCTAAAAGTTCTGGTGGGGTGTTTGTGTCAGCTTGACAAAGGGCAATGGTATTTCAGTGAGGCACTCTGAAATAATCAGATTATTGTAGCTGGAGTTTTATCTATAAAGGGCTTGGCAAAGCTTCACTGTAACACAAAGAGAATCTATGTTCCTAGGTTTTTCTATCTTAGGTCATTAAAAAAATGAACACAACACTTTAGGGAAAGAGCTCAGGCACTAAACATAAACAGAAAAAAGTTTTAAAAATAAAAAACTCAGACTATGCTTATTTTACAGCAGAATTGACAAATAAAACTTTATTCCACACATTCGAAGACAAGCCATCACTGGAGGATTATAGCTCTGTTGTGTGCTTCTTTCCAAAATAGCAAAATAAAAATTGTTGTCACCACACCCTTCTTCCTCCCCACCTGCAGCATGACTGTACATGGTGTGTGACCTTCCTCTTTGCAGCCACAGTCTGGTCCCTTCCGACTGTGACTTCCTCACACAACAAAACAGGCACCTTAAGAACAACACTGTGCATTTCCGTGTCGTTTCATTTATTGCTCACTGGCTGTAACCACTTCAGATCTCCATGGAAAGCAATGATGTCTGGAAAAGTCTGACTTCATTAGATTGGTGGTCACAGAGTGTAAAGGGCTGCTCCAGCCAGCTGACAGCCCAGGAATGGAAGTTCTGCTTCTACCTTGTAGTGTGTACAAGACACCACTTCCCATCACAGTGTGGAGCAATTAACCCTGGAGAAGGAATTTAGCAGTTTCCCTCAGAGCATCAGTTCTCTGGTCGATCCTCTACCCATAGACATCCTTTTCTAAGTCACCGAATCCCAGCTCAGCAACAGGATGGAAGAGAAACAGAAGAATGAAGCTTCTTCAGGATTTAGTCACTTTCTCCCCCAAATCATCAGTGTCCCAAATTAAAGCCCACCATTCAGGTCAACTTCCTAAGAACCACTTCCATCTCACTCTGTGTTTTAAAATCCTCCATTAGATGCCTTTAGTAAAGCATTACACCAAGGTCGACCGCTGTGACAACATTTTGACTTAATAGGATCATCATGCAATCAAACTAATTCTTTTCCTAAGCTATGATCTGGCAGCTTGCAAGGAGAAAACTTGATCTAATCTTAGGAAGTTTTCAATCAAGGTGATCCAGAGTAAAGATCCTTCCTCTCTGTTCCCACTTATTCTAATACCCGTGGCATTAGAGACATGGCTTGCTCATCCGTGTCTCTTTCCATTATAGAACTTCTACAAACCACAATCTGTTCTATTACCGCGGATGTTGTCACCAACTATGTTCCACATGATGACAAAAGTGTACTTGTTAATGGATCTGGGAGGCTTACATGATAGTCATGAAGGGCCTCACAGAATCAAGTTAACTCTAAGGAAATCTAGAATAAATAGGAAATTAAATTTTCCACTTTGTGTAAGTTTGAATAATGCTCTGACTAGCTGCTGTGTGATTGCAGTTTAGAACTTGTGCTAAACATGTTACCAGGAAAGGATTCTTTAAGACTCATCCAAGTATAATTTGCCACTAAATTAAATGAGGAAAAAGAAATCTTATCTACTTCCAGAAATCAAGATTGGTCATGTGTTTATCTGTGAATCCTTGTAAGAAGTGTTCATTGCTCAAGAAAGGATCCTCTTTTAGTCGGTGAGCAGTTCTCTGCCATAGAGAAATTCAGGCATCTCTTCTTAGCTCTTGATTGATGTTTTCATTACTTATTCTTCAGGCTGCAAGACAGAAAGGAAGACAGTAATACCTCCTTCCATAATTATTCATAGCGGCACTCCCCTCTTTCTCCCTCACTCCCTTCAAGCCCATCATATTCAAATTAGGATGAATTTAGATGGTGAATCATTTTACACACACACACACACACGTGTGGAGGTATGATAACTTGTGTCTGTGTGGTAGTCAGGATCTACCCTTATTTCTCTCTACCTTATACTTTTGAAGCAAGGTATCTCACTCAACCAGGAACTCACCATTTTGACTAGATTGACTGACTGGCAGGCCTTGGGATTTGCCTGTTTCTACCCTCCCAGTGTTGTGACTGCAGGCATACACAGTCATGCCTGACATTGGTACAGGTGCTGGGGACTATCGCATAGGTCCATGTGCTTGTACACTAAACACTTTACCCTCTTAGCCATCTCCCCTGGCCCTCTATGGTGATTCTTTTATGAGATTAAATAATTTGTATTATATAATGGATGGATTATCAATTCCATCTCCTCATTGTGAAAAAAATTGCACTCGACACTCAATCCAGGTACTAGCTCCTTTTAAAATGATCTTAATGTAAAAACAACAGCTGTCAAAAGGTGGTTGGTTCTTCCCATAACATTCATGCCACTTTTGCACTACCGTATCTTGCAGACAGGTTGCTACTGTAGGTCAAAGGATTTGTACATTGGTGATACTGATTATCCTTCTCGTTTGATAGCTTGCATAGGACCTTCCAGCTCCATGAACACTCGTTAGTAAGGGTTAAAGCTCCTAGTTAGGCACAGGCTTGATGCCACAATGCTTGGTTTCATAACAAAATGTTGTCTTCAACAATAGATCTTTACCATCAGGTTGTGAGAGCAACCAGCAGCCTGTAATGTTTAGGGGTTTCCAAGGGACTCCTTTGGCCAAACACTCAACAAGATGTAATTCATACCTGGCACTGCAGTTGTAACTTGACAGATTAACATATCTAGTTGGGGCACTGTCCCTGCTATTGGATTTAAGAGCAACTGCGTAAAATGTAACCCAGGACCTGACACTGCTAGAATGGACAAGAACTGGAGGCTAAATTGATCATGGGCTTCCAGGAAACCCCAATATCGTTAGTCTGTCAAACATAGCAATGAAATGAATCTTAATGACATGCTGCTATCTACACAGATCAGTAACTTGTTTAACCTACATTACAGAAGCTTCTTGCAATGGGTGAGAATTAACAAAGATACCCACGATTGAACAATGTGCAGAGTGAGAGACTTTGGAGCACTTTGTCCTAAATGGGATGTCTTAATAAAACCCCTCACCACATAATAATCAGGAATCCAAGTGGAAGAGAAGGCAGAAGGATTATAAGAGCTAGAGGTGATGGATGACTCCAAGGAAACAGTGTCTTCTAGACACCCAGAATAGACTGTGGCAGCATATGCAATGCCTGCACAGGTTCAAGCCGGAGAGGGTGGAAATAGATTGAGGTGAGATCCTGTGTCTAAGAAGTTATGTGCAGTTGATACCAGCCATTTTCTCAGCTCTCTCCTGCCTTTCAGCTCTTACAGTCTCTCTGCCCTATCTTCCATGACAGTCGTTGAGCCCTGGGTACAAGGTGTGATGTGAATGTCCCATTGGTGGCTGAGCACTCCACAGTCATTTATTCTCTGAACTTTGTCCAATTGTGAGCCTCTGCATCAGCCAACATCTACTGTATAAATAGATGTTTCTGAAAAGCTGTGAGAGCTGTACAAAACTACAGATAGAGATCTATGCATTTAGAGGACAATTTGATACAATGTCCATTTAGCAAAATAACACTAGTAGGTTTTACCCTAGGGCCTATGAGCTTCCCAGCCATGTATTCTTGAGCAAATTTGCAGCAACAGCAGTAGGCATGAGTTTGCCCTGTGGAGTGGGACTTACATCCTACTAGAAGGCAGTTGGTTACTCCTCTAACATCTGTGAGACTATTGCACCTAAGAGTATATCTTGTCATACTGGTCATTATTGTAGTAAACAGGGTTCACAGATAAGCAATAGTGCTTAGGCTATCCCCACAGCAGCATGGATAACATCAGTAAGGAGAGCCAGATGTCTTGATAGCAATCTAATGAATACATGTTAAGCATTTACAAAGTAAGACACTGTCACTCATAACCTAAGAAAAAAAGATGTTATGGAATATTCTTAGGATCTAAGTAAGGATGTGAATGCTGATAGTGTAATGCAAACCAAATGAAAAAAAAGGATACTCCTCACTTTCTCTTTTTAATGGCTTTGAAATTTTGCCTTGAAATGACCTTGGAAACCACAGTCATTTTTTAAAAATAGTTCTTCTGCACAGAAAATCCCTATTTTTTTAAAAAAAAATATTGCATTGGGTTTCTGCCACCAACAGTTCATGACCTAAGGAAATTCTACTGTCCTTGTCAACGTCACGAATTAATGGGACAGAAAGGCCAAAAATTTATACTCAGAAAACAAGTATAATTCCATTTCCATAAACTGTGGAGATGAACACTTTTCAAATGAAAAGGAATCTGAATCACACATCCGTGGGTACCAGTGAGGAGTGCAAGCACATCTGCAGCGAGTAGCCCTCAATCCCAATTGCGTCCTTCTTGGAATCTAGATGAGGGGGTGGAGGTTTGTTTTAACTTATAGTGAACATGGTATATTAAGGATTTAATATCATAATGAGGGAAAATATCACTCAGTTCCCTTTATAGTCAACATAATTATTCAGATCCTTACTGAACACAGAGAAGTGATGACAAATGAAGGAGTCTTTCAATTCAATATAGCACTTATAATTATTCTCCTATAGCAGTTTTCCTTGCTGGAATGGCTTCTTCATATTTTACATAGCATCCCATTGGATACAAAGAACATAGAAATTTTTACTGCTATTAATAAATATGGAGCCATCCAATCTGAGCAGAAAATTCCTTTTCATCTGAGAGATAAGCTGCATAATTCATATATTTTCAGAAATCTCTTAAAGTAGAAAACTGAAGGAAAACAGAGGAAGGAGAATTCATGACATTGTTCCTGTTTGTGTGGAAGGTTGGTGCTCCAGTTTGCTGTCTGTGTCGGTGATAAACACCGTGATGAAATGTTGGGGAAGAAAGGGCTTATTGAATAGTATAGGTTATAATATATCATCAAGGGAAGTTACAGCAGGAGCCCTGAGCAGATACTAAAGTAGTAGCTAGGTGGGATTGGCTTGTCCCCAGGCTCACATTAAGCTGCCTTTCTTATACAACCTAGGCCTGCCAGCTTGGGGGTGGTACTGCTCACAGGATCCAGCCCTCCTCCATCAATTACTAAGAAAACTCACTACCAACATGTCCACAGGCCCATCGGACAGAGGCAGCTCTTTAACTACAGAGTCCTCTTCCCAGGGGTGCCAGGTCAGCACCCAGAGTGATCATCGCAGGGAGTCTCACAGTCTGTCTTCAAATGGATGAAGTTGGAGGACAGAATGTCAATTGCATCCTGCACATGCCAATCATGCAGCTTTCTTTACTCTCTACATGCACAGTAGTAAACAGGATAAGCCTAGAGGTCCCCCTTTTCACATGGACAACCTTTCTGAGAATGCTAGATGTTAACCTGGCATCTCAGGAACACCATCAGAAAGAAATGGAATCATTTATAAAAGTTGCACACATCAGAAGTTCCCATGTCAGAGAACCGTGAACTGTAGCTCCTAAGGCACATGATAGCAGAACCATGCCTCAGCATCTTCTGCTCTTTCTATCCCTTTCCCTTTGCTGCATTTTAGTTCCAGACGATTACAAGCAGTGGGTTTTGCTCCCACCTGGACACCAGACAAACATCTAATGGAGCACCATAAGAACCACTGAAAAATGATCCCACCTTTGAAAATAGTCAAAAATGTACACAGGCCATCTTTCTGTAATTAAACAAGCATGCATGTTTGAAAGGTGTTAGAAGGTATTAGTTTTTATAAATATTTTTTAAGACAAATCTTTTCCCATTTTACATACCAAACCCACTTCCCTCTTCCTCCTCTTCTCCTGCTCTCCCTACCTTCCCATCAACTCCTCAGAGATGGTAAGTCTTCCCATGGGGTGTCAACAAAGTCTGGCAGAGAAATGGAATAACCCACTTTGTTGCACACTAAATTTCAACCATTCCATAAATAAGCTGAAAGTCAAAATGAATGATATTGTCTGGATTCATAAAGCTGCATTTTTGACAGTCAGACCACAAGTAAACAGTTACAAAAATGCCACCACAGGCCCATGGTTCCTATGAAATGACACAGGCAGAGTGCTAGAGAAGGAGGCGTATTCTTAGGTTTGTGTACTAAATAATTGACTGTCCAAGCTGTCCAGAAGGCGGAGGCAAGAGAATCACACACTTAAGGTCTGGGACACTGTAAGTTGAAGGCCAGCCAGAGCAACTTAGTGAGGCCCCTATCTCAAGACAAAAGTAAGAAAGCAAACAGGGCTCGGTACATAACTCAGCACCACAGCATTTGCCTAGCATGTGCTATGCCCAGGCTTTACCCCCTACTCAATCTGTGTTCCCAAAAGTAGATGGTACCCAAAGACTTAACACATTTGCTCAATTTTCTCAGATAGCACAATGAAAAAACCAAGTTCAGGCATATTCCTCAAGGGAACACCTGCTTCCTATTCCTCCCTTCCTGTACTCCCTCTTTCAAAGACAGGACTCAGACCTTCCCCACTATGATTCCTTTTTCTGATCATGTTGCAACCAGTCAACTACCAATCTGTGGGCCTCCTACTTCATCTCGTGTCTACTATTGTCTCGGCATCGTGGAACCACATCCTACTCCAGAGTAAGAAATACATTTCATGGAACAAAGAGACACTGTAACACTGACGGCTGTTTTCTGACTCTGGGCTACCATTTCTAGAGATTGCTTGAGATTCCTGTCCTTGGCATAACTCCTCCCCATAAGGATTATGGAGATTGTTTGAGGTTCCTGTCCCTGTTGAGTTCTCCTGTGCAATGT